TAAAAAAATATATAACTAAAAATATAATTGAAAATATAATCATATAAATCATATAAATTATATATTATAATTAATAATAAATAATAAGTATTATAACTGAAAGTAGTTTTCAATTTAATAAACAAGATAATAACAAGATAATATAGTTTATAAATTGTATCAATATATCTTCATTTATCTCATATGATGTCACATTGTAATATAACTTTTGAGGGTTATTTTATATTACAAAATAATATAAAAGTATAAATTAATCAGCCATTTTAATACATTACTTTACATGTTTTACAAATTAAAACGAAATTTTTCATTCTTTGAATTCCATTTTGTTGTGGATAATCTATTTTTAAATTTTTATTAATTAAATCCAAAATGAATTCATTAAGAAAAATACAAAGTGTTATTATTAGACTAGGAAATCGTTATTACAAAAAAGTTGGAATTATTGGAGTACCATTCGAAAAAGGCCAGGTATTATTTTATGCAGTATAAAGTAATATAATATGTATAGGAATAATGAAGTATTAATAAAAATATAGCATAAGAAAGGTGTAGCACAAGGTCCAAAAGTAATTAGAGAAGCTGGATTAATAAAAGAATTAGAATTATTAGGTAATTATTATTATCTATTTTACTAATTTTGAACAACTTAAAAATTATAAGTCTAACATATATATTTTAATTCTAATATACATATTTTTCAATTAAATAAGGATTAGATGTGAAAGATTATGGCGATATTTTATATGAAGCAAAAAAAGTAACTGAAATAGATAACATGACACACTTAGGTGATGTTGCTGGTTGTACAAGCAAATTATCTGAACAATTTCAACAAGTTTTGAAGAAAGATCAAAAAGTATTAACCATTGGTGGTGATCATAGTATAGGAATTGGAACTGTAGATGGTCATATTAAGGTATAATATAAAAAAATAATACTTAATATTATTTTAAATAAATAAATAAATTTCATATAAAATATATAATTTTATATTATTTTATAATTATTTTTAAAATTATATTTTCTTCTTGTTATATATATTTTTATTTTATGTTTTATTTTATTAAAGAAAAAAGGAGATATAGCTTTAATATGGGTTGATGCTCATGCAGATATAAATACAAATAAAACTAGCACTACTGGACAATATCATGAAACGCCTGTAGCATTATTAATNATAGAACTAAGAGATTGAATGCATTAGATATTGTAGAAGTAAATCCTTATATTGGTAATGAATGTGATGTTCAACTAACTGTTGAAGCTGCTATACATATTATTCAAGCTGGTTTTGGATATAATAGAAGAGGTTTTAAAGTTCCGGAAGGTGTTACTGATATACCATTACCAACAAACAAAAATTAATTAAATTAATTAATTATATTTATTTATAATTTTATAATATTAAATATAATTAAGATGTCATATTAACTCTTTTTTGAAATTTATACAGTAATGTGTTTTTGTAAACTTTTACACAATATNTGGCCGATTATTGGCCACATCTTCCAGGAATGGATTGGCAAAAACCAATGTAATTCATAATTACATTACAATATTATTATCGAAATGAATAGTATAATATTAAATTAATATATAAATTAATATAATATAAATTATATAATGTAAATTAATAATTAAATTAATATATATTACTATATATATTAAATTATAGGTTGTCTATCAGAAATGTAGCTTACATTGGATTAAGAGAACTTAATAGTTATGAAAGACTACTTATTGAAAAATTTGGAATTACTGCTTTTGGTATGGAAGATGTAGAAAAATT